GTGATCAAGATGCTCACAGAATTGGTTGATTTTTGTCACAAATTAGATGAAAAAATGAAGGCTACAATAAGTGAAATGAAGAAAAATGCACAGGGAACCAATAGTGATGGAATGAAAGCTGGGTCTCACATCAATGGAGTGGACCAGAAGGAAGAAAACAACATACAATCAGAAAACAATGAAGAAATAAGAATTCAAAAAAATGAGGAGAGGCTTAGGAACCTCCAGGACATCTTTAAACATTTCAACATCCGAATTACAGAAGAAAAAGAGGAAGAGCAACGAATTGAAAACTTATCTGAACAAATAATAAAGGAGAACTTCCCCAGTCTGGCAAAGGAAATAGACTTCCAGGAAGTCCAGGAAGCTCAGAGAGTCCCAAAGAAGTTGGACCCAAGAAGAAACACACCAAGGCACATCATAATTACATTAGCCAAGGTAAAAATGAAGGAGAGAATCCTAGAAGCAGCAAGAGATAAGGAGACAGTAATCTACAAAGGAGTTCCCATCAGACTGTCAACTGATTTCTCAAAAGAGACCTTACAGGCAAGAAGGGGCTGGAAAGAAGTATTCCAAGTCATGAAAGGCAGGGACCTACATACATCCAAGATTGCTCTATCCAGCAAAGCTTTCATTTAGCATGGAAGGGCAGATAAAGTGCTTCCTAGATAAGGTCAAGTTCAAGGAGTTCATCATCACCAAGCCCTTATTATATGAAATGTTAAAGGGATTTATCTGAGAGAAAGGAAGATAAAAAATATGAAGAGTAAAATGACAGCAAACTCACAATCATTAACAACCATACCTAAAAAACATAAAAGCAAACTAAGCAAACAACTAGAACAGGAACAGAAACACAAAAATGGAGAGCACATGGAGGGTTAGCAACAGGGCAATTGGAGGAGGAGAGAGGGGGAAAAGGTACAACAGGATAAGTAGCATAGATGGTAGGTAGAAAATAGACAGGGGGAGGGCAAGAATAGTATGGGAAATGTAGAAGCTAAAGAACTTATGACACATGGACATGAACTAAAGGGGGGGGAATGTGGGTGGGAGAGTGTGTAGAGTGGAGGGAAATCAAAAGGGGGTAATGGGACAACTGTAATAGCATAATCAATAAAATATATTAAAAACAAAGAATACTAGCCAAGATGGAGGCATGGGTAGATATGCTATATCTCCTTGCACAACCAAAAGAAGGAAACAACCAATTTAAAAACATAAAAACAATCAACAATCAGAACTGCCAGAAAATCACATTATATGGAAGTCTGACAACCAAAGAGTTAAAGAAGAAATATTTATTCAGACTGGTGTGCCAAGACAAAGAAATATGGCCCAAATGAAAGAATGGAGCAAAACTCCAGGAACATAATGAAATGATGAGGAGATAGCCAACCTATCAGATGCAAAGTTCAAAAAACTGGTAATCAGGATGCTCACAGAAATGATTGAGTACACCCATACAATAAATGAACAAGTGAAATAAAGAAAAATATACAGGGAATCAACAGTGAAGGGAAGGAAACAGGTTCAAATCAATGATTTGGAACAAAAGGAAGAAATAAACATTCAACCAGAACAGAATGAAATAAAAAAAATGAGGAAAGGCTTAGGAACCTCTGGGACAACTTTAAATTTTCCAACATCTGAATCACAGGAGTACCAGCAGAAGAAGAGGAGGAGCAAGAAATTGAAAACTTCCTCAAACTGGTGAAGTAAATAGACATACAAGTCCAGGAAGCTCAGAGAGTTGCAAACAAGTTGGTCCCAAAGAAGAACACACCAAGAAACATCATAATTAAACACCCAAGATTAAAATGAGAGAATCTTAAAAGCAGCCAGAGGAAAGGAGAGTGTTATTTACAAAGGAGTGCCCATAAGACTATCAGCTGATTTCTCAAAAGAAATCTTATAGGCAAGAAGGGGCTAGAAAGAAGTATTCAAAGTGATAAAAAGCAAGGACCTACATCCAAGATTACTCTATCCAGCAAAGCTATCATTTAGAATGAAAGGGCAGATAAAGTGCTTCTCAGATAAGGTAAGTTAAAGGAGTTTGTCAGCACCAAGCCCTTATTACATGAAATGTTAAAGGGATTTATCTAAGAAAATCAAAACTATGAACATTAAAATGACAGCAAACTCACAACTATCAATAACTGAACCTAAGAAAACAAAAAGAAAAACAAACTAAGCAAACAACGAGAACAAGAACAGAATCACAGAAATGGACGGATAAAGTGGGGAGGGGGAAGTGGAGAAAGAGGGGAAATGTACAGGGAATAAGAAGCATAATTGGTAGGTACATAATAGGCAGGGGAGCTTAAGAATAGTATGGGAAATGGAGAAGCCAGAGAACTTATATGAACAACCCATGGACATGAACTCAGGGTGGCTGGCGGGGATGACACTGGAGGGAGTGGGGGTACTGAATGTAGAGGGACAAAGGGGAGAAAAAGAATGGGATAACTTTAATAGCATAATCAATAAAATATACTTTTTTTGAAAAAGAGTTACTTTACATATATATAACAGCTACCTAGTATTATAGATGTGTTAAGTAGGCTCAAAGGCAGGGAGAGAGTGTGACTTTGACTTGTGATGAGGAGAAGCTCACTGAGCCTGGGAGAGAGCAAGAAGGTGGTTCCCCTACTTCACAGGGTTCAGCCTGCCCAGAGTAACAATGGTAGCAGAGAAGGGCAGAAGAGACCAGAGTACTGGCAAGTGTAGTCAATTGTAGGAGGAGTTTGAAATGGGTTTTGGAGGAGGAGCAGGATGAGGATTTAAACTCAAGAGCAGCAGTTATGCAGGGTCTCTTAACCATGCAGCTTGGGAAGGAGAAGCCTCTTGACCATGTGGCTTGGGAGCAGTCTTAGCCATGCAATTTAGAAGGAAGGAGGGTTTCTGTCATGTAGGGTGTAGTTATAGTGAGGAAGGAGGCCATGCAAGATCATGTCTGGCTACACCTGAATTTTCACTGGGACTATTAAGACTTGTGTCTTCCCAGAGTTTCACCATGATCTAGAGAATCATTACACAAGCATTCCTGGACTATTAAAATGGAGGCTGATGAACACATATCCCAGATCCTAAAGCAGAGAGCTGCTGCATGAGGGTGGCAACTTTGATCTAGAGAGACTGGAGAACTGCTTGCGCAGCCAGCTTAAGATAAAGACATGGGACACTTTGGGGGCTTTTGGCTAGTAGTACGGTAGGGAGCATGGGAAGTGCTGGATCTCATGGAAAAGGAAGGCTCTGAGCCCCACCCCCCAAGGATCAAAAGCTGTAAATAAAGATCTCCTCCTTCCAGCATTACTTGTTGGGTCTTTCACTAAGGCACTATGTGGACGGGCCCCAGTGTGCTCACGTACAGTTTTGGTGAGCTCTGTAACATTTCTACAGTGTGAAGTTTTTTATGATAATAAGGGCTACTGATATGGACAAAAGATTTCCCACAATTACTACAGGCATTAGGCCTTTGTCTTGTGTGAACTCTCTGATGATAATGGAAGACATTACTACTGATAAAAGATTTGTCACAGTCATTGCACTTACAAAGCCTTTCTCCAGTATGAATTTCATTATGATAACAAAGGCAAAATATAGCCCTGGCTGGTGTGGCTCAGTGGATTAAGCGCTGGCCTGTGAACCAAAGGGTTGCTGGTTCAACCCAACATTCCTGGGTTGTAGGCCAGGTCCCCCGGTTGGGGGTGCGAGAGAGGCAACCACAAACAATATAAAGGACATCCCACATTCACAGCACACATAAGGCCTTTCTTCAGTGTGAACTCTCTTATGATAACAGCTTACTGCTACTGGTCAAAGATTTGTTACATTCATTGCACTCATAATGCTTTTCTTTTATATGTACTCTCTAATGACAATGGAGGCCAGGATGGCTTGCCATATTCACCATAAAGCCTTTCTCTAGGATGAACTCTCCAATGTTTTCTGAGGCTACTGCTTGTAGTAAAAGACTCACATTCACTTCATTTATTAGCTCATTTACCTTTGTGAAATCTCTCATGACAACAAAGGCCATAGTTGCTGGTAAAAATTTTCCGCAATCACGGCACACAAAACACTGTACGGGCAATTCTAAAAGGGTAATATTGTAATGCAGACATTAGACTTCTATTTATTTTTGCAATCCTAATATGGTTCAACGTTTTCAGGAATGGAAAGGAATCACATTTTGGATACAAAACCTTCAGTAACCATTTGAGTCATGTGCTCACATTAAGTCTGTTTTCTCAGACATCTTTGAGGTCTTAACTATTTTCAACATCCACTGATGTTTCACCAGAAGTAGTTCCAAGTCACTACATAGTCATTATCAATAGCTTTATGTAATTTTGCATTTTAAACCTTTTTTTCTGAGATAAGTTTAATTCCCCATGGAGCTGAGCCCCTGCAATAAGAAAAGTGATAATGACTTCCCAGTCAGGAGTTGAAATCAATTTAATTTACTCCTAGCATGTACATTGCTGGTTACAGAGAGCTATTAACAATGACTATGTAGTGATTCAAAGGTGGTAGCAGAAGTAGTTTTGGTGAAAAATCAGCGGATGTTAAAACGTACACAACGATATTGCATAGGGGTCTGTAGCCTTTGGGGAGGAGGTATCTGAAATAACATGTTTAGCCCCTGGAAACTACTGAACTTCATGAGTTTGAGAGAATGTCTCCAAACACTTGGGCAAACAAGGACAGGCAATGTACCACTTTCCCCAGAAACCTCAGTTATGCTAATTCACGAAGGGACCCAAACCTTTCTAAAGCCCTCGGGCCCGGCCGCAGACGCCATTTCCCAGGGGCCCTGGGGTCTAAAGTTTTCGGTAGGAGGTCAGAGCCCGAGCGCCAGCACCAGTTTGTGAGAACTACATTACCCTTGTGCTTTGCGTCGAGTGGCAGACCCGCTGCGCCAATGAGGGCTCCAGAGCGAGGCGTTTCCGTGCGTGGCACCGAGCCGGAGGCGTGACTTCCGGTGTCCTCCTCCCGGCGGTCATTTTGGCTGCTCGGGTGTGTTCCTCCCGGTGGTGGTTCCAGAGCGCGGGCTTGTGGCCGTGAGCGAGATCCAGAAGTCGGAGGGGTGGTCCGCACGCCACAGAAGCGGGTCTGAGGCTGGACCTCGGCGCCGCCCGAGATGCTCTGCACGAGGGCTGGGACTAGAACCGCCGTTACCCTCTGCCCGAGGCCCGGATGGCGGCTGCCGTGCTGAGGCTCCTGGCTGAGGTCAGTGCGCGTCCCCCAGGCCGTTACCCACTGAGCCCTGCATCGTGCACCCCAGCGTCCGGTAACCGTGAGGCGCTGGGCCGTGGGGTCCTGTTTCTGATCACGACTATGAACGTCTGCTGGTGCTGTTGGGGAGGGTTACGTGCAGCGGCTGGGAGGTGCGACTGATCCTGGACGACCCAGGGAAGCACGGGTCAGCGGTGCCTTCGGGGAATGATGCTTGAGGCGGAGTCCCATCTGCTGGGTGTTCTGTCCACTTTCTCAGGACTCTAGAAGCCATGGAGGATTTTAAACAAAGGAGGGACAGGAACTACATTAGGGCTTTACAAGGTTCCCGAATACTTTCAACGTGAGAACAGCCTGAAGGAGGGTGATGAAGACGGTGAGTGAGGCACAGAGGTTAGACATCCAGCCATGGTCTTACCTGGCTTAAAGGCCAGGCGTGAACCCGTTGAAACTGGACATGGTTGTATTTTATTTTCCTTTCTGGCACCTAATGTAAAGAGATGTGGGACGGTTATCACAGTCCAGGATGTAAAACTGCTTAGAGGTAAAGCTGAGGTGGAAGCATGTAGGAAACCATAGTTCTACTTTCTTTTGGATGGGAGCAAAGAGCAGGAGAGGATTGAGGACGTGATGGGACTTCGGGAATGGAGGAGCCAGCCGACCAAACTCAGGTCTTAGGCTCTACCGTTTCAAAGTAAAGAACATACTGTGAGGGCCTGGAAAGAGAAGGAAAATCAGGGTGGAGACTACTGCAGTCATTCAGTTGAGGCTTCATGGAACCAAAGTAGTGGCTTAGGAGAAGTGGCTGGGTTCTGGATGTGTTTTTATTAAGGATCAACTAGATTTCCTAATGTGGAAGGAAAGTGTCTTGGTCTGCTGTGCTGCTGTAACAAAATACTGTAAACGAGGTGACTTACGAACAACAAATTTCTCATAGTTCTGGGGACTAGAAGAGGAACTTCAGAAATTAAAAACTTTGTTTTTCAAATGACATAAAAATGAAAAGGCAGAGACTAGAAGAACATATTTGCAACATATATCCAACAGAGAATAAGTATCTCAAATATATTTAAAAATTTATAATTAAGAATTAAGTCCATAATGACTTACCACTATGCACTTGTGGTAAGTGCATACCAAGTGTTGCCAAGCATGTGGAAGTAACTGGAACTCTCATCCTCTGATGGTAGGAATGGAAAAGGTGTAACCATTTTGGAAAGCAGTCTGGCAGTCTTTAAAAGTTAAACATAGAGCTTACATACAATTCGGCAATCCCATTTCTAGGTATTTATCCAAAGGAAATAAGAACCCATGTTTTTGCAGAGACCTGTATACAATGTTCAAATGAGATAAATTGTTGTAACACTGTGTAATGGAATATTACTCAGGAAGAAAAAATAGTTGTCTTAGTCTGCTATAACAGAATACCATAGACTGGTGGTTTAGTGAACAGAAATTTATCTCACAGTTCTGGAAGCTAAGGAGTCCAAGGTCAAAGTGCCAGATGCTTTGGCTCTTGATAAGGACCCTTTTCCTGTTTGCACATGGCCTGTTTGTGTCTTCACGTGGTAAAAAGACAGAGGAAGTACAAGGTCTCTGCTGTATCTTTTATTTAAAAAAAATTTTTTTAAAGATTTTTATTTATTTTTATAGAGAGAAGAGGGAGTAAGAAAGGGAGAGAAACACCTGTTTGTTGCCTCTCGCCTACCCCCAACAGAGGACCTGGCCTGCAAACCAGATATATGCCCTGACTGGGAATTGAACCAGCAACCTTTTGGTTCACAGGCTAGCACTCAATCCACTGAGCCACACCAGGCAGAGCTCTCTGCTGTATCTTTTAAAGGCACTGCCAGGGATGTCCAACCTTTTGATGTCTCTAGGCCACACATTAAATACATAAATGCTAACAAAAACAGAAACATCTCATGTTTTAGGTAAACTTACAATTTTGTGTTGGGCCGCATTCATAGCCATCCTGAACCACAGGTTGCACACCCTTGCAACTAAATTTATCATGAGGGTCCCAGCTGATTACCTCATCTATCTAATTACCTCTCCAAACTGCATCTCTTGACACCATTACATTGGGGTCCGGGGGCACACTTTAGTCTGAACAGAAATAAAATACAGATATATGCAAAAACATGGATGGATTGCTAAATTTAGCTAAGTGGAAGAATGCAGATGAAGAGAACACAGCTTAATTTTATTTACATAAGATCTTAGGAAATACAACTTTATCATAGCATAAGCAGGTCAGTAGTTGCTTGAGAATGGTGGTTTGGATGAGGGGATGGTAGTGGAAAGAGCTATGAGAAAACTTTTGAGGGATGGTGAGTATGTTCACTATCTTGACTGGGGTGAAGTTTCACAGGTATCTGCTAAAACTCACCACCTTATACTCTTTAAATATGTTCAGGTATTATTATAAATAAAAAATATTTTACTTCCACGAAGATAATCTATCTGAAGAGAGTGGTTGGAATGAAAGCAATTAGGGGGAAATTGTGGCTACCAAAATGGAATCCTAAAGAAAAGGAGAAACCAGGTTGGGTTTGTGTTGTTTAAGTTATTCAACTCATGATACTTTGTTACAGCAGCAATAGGAAACTGGTATAACCTTTTCACATAATAAAATTAATATACCCGGTAAAAAATAGGGCATTACTGGTATACTTAGGATTTTCAGCTTTAGGAAATAAAAATACAGGATACTTAGTTAAATGTGGATTTCAAATAAACAGTGAATTTTTAAAAGTATGTGTCCCATGTAATATACATTATAAAATTAGTTATTACTCACCTGAAGTTTAAATTAAACCTGGGTAAGTTTTGTCAGGCAACCCTAAGTATACTAGAAAACACAACGGGAACAAAATCTGGTAGTCGTCTATACTCTAGCACTATGAACATGTTTTGCTATATTTAAAACCTACTTTTTCCTTATAAAGAAGGGTAAAAACAAACAAACATTTATCATTCAGCTGACTGTTAGTAGGATCAAATGAAACAATAGCTGTGAAAGCACACAAAACTGGTAAACACACATGTCCAGTTAGCCTCAGGCTATTGAAACAAGCTTGGGAATGGTTTTGAAAACATTCTGTAGGTGTGATGTGTTAAGCAAATAGATTACCTTGAGTCAAAATAACCAAACCTTTTTATATTTTTTCTTTTTTTAAAGATTTTATTTATTTTTAGAGAGAGGGGTAGGGAAGGAGAAAGAAAGGGAGAGAAACACCAATGTGTGGTGCCTCTCACATTCCTCCCACTGGGGACCTGACTGGGAATCTAATCATTGACCCTTTGGTTTGCAGGCCGGCACTTAATCCTCTGAGCCATATCATCTAGGGCACCAAATCTTTTATGATGCACAGTTCAATCAGCTTTGGAAGTGCCAAGAAATACTCCTAATTTGTCCCTTTTTCTAGCCTACCTGCCCCCCCCCAATGCAAACACCCACAAGGAGTTAAAAATTTTAATAATTTTTTCAGAAATTAAAAAATTTTTCAATTACAGTTGATATTCGATGTTATATTAGTTTCAGGATTACAGTGTAGTGGTTGGGCATCCCTGTACTTGCTGTACTTTATAACCCTATCAGTATTTTGTAATTGCCAATTTGGTGCTTCTTTATCCCATCTTCTTTTTTCCTAGACGGCCCCCCCTTTCTGCCCCGCAATGCCCCTTCCATCTGGCAACATCAAAATGTGCTGTGTATCTACTAGTTTTTTCTGTCTTATTTGTTCATTTATTTAATTTTTTAGAGTCCATATAAAGTGAAATCATGTGGTAATTGTTTTTATGTGTTTGGTTTCATTCTTTTTTTTTGTGGCTAAGTAATATTCCATTGTATATATGTATGACAAGTTCTTTATCCAGTGTCTATCTGTGGCTACTTAGGTTGTTTCCATATCTTGACTGTTGTAATGATGCAGTGAACATAGGGATGCATATATCTTTTTAAATTAATGTTTTGAGTTTCTTCAGGTATGTTCTCAGAAGTAGAATTGGTGAGTCATAAGACGGGTTTCTTTTTCATTGTTTTTCAGGAACTACCCATAATGTTTTCCATAGTGGGTATACCAATTGTGGCCTGCCTACCAATATTGCACAAGGGTTTCTTTTTCCCCCACATCTTCACCAACACTGTTTGTTGATTTATTGATGATAGCCTTTCTTATAGGTGTGAGATAATACCTCATTGTGGTTTTAAAATTGCATTTTCTCTGATTAGCGACAGTCAGTGTCTTTTCATATGTCTATTAGTCATCTGTATGTTCTCTTTGGAGAGATGTTGATTCAGACTCTCTACCCATGTTTTAAATTGGATTTTTAAAAAATAATTTATTTAAGAGAAAGGGGAAGGGAGGGAGAAGAAGAGGGAGAGAAACATTGATGTGTAAGAGAAGCATTGATCAAGGTTCCCTCTCCCACGCCCCCAGCCAGGGACTGGTCCAAAACCCAGGAATTGAACTGGCAACCTTTTGCTTTGCAGGAAGATGCACAACTAACTGAGCGACGTTGGTTAGGGTTCTGATAGTTTTTTTAAATGTAAGATTGTGATTTGTAGGTTCAGCTTTACACAAAATTTATTGAGCACATCCACCACTACAATGCTGCAGGATTTATTCTGATCTACAGAAAATAGCTTTGAAATTATGAAAGAATTTGTTATGTGAGTTAAGATGATTTTCTTATGTGGTGATAGTGGAGTCACTATTCTGTCACTACATTCCTCTGACTCAAATACAATCAGCCTTTAAACACACTTAAATTTGGGCATTATCTTCCTCACTCAGACTGGGGTTGGGATCCTTGGAAATTATTTAACAAAAAGTGGGCACGTGTTGAAATCCAAAGACATAGGGCCCCTGGTAACAACTTGCTAACAAATTGGTTCTTTTTCAAAGGGATCATCTAGCGCTGGCAGGTTTGCTGGATGCTACTCATCCGTTTTTACACAGGACGGGCATGGGGCTTTGCCCAGCATGACTTGCCTCTTGAGTAGGTTCTAGGTCATTACACTTTGTCCCAGTTTCTCAGCTCCTGCTATTTCTTCTGTTGGATCCTGAAACTCTTGGTGTATCTACCCATATTTTTATGAGAGTGACATGCATGTTTCCCTGGAATACTATAGATAGAATTGAGAGGTTTAGGAAACATTGTCAAAAGTCTGTGATTTTCATATAATGTGTTTCAGCATCATGATCTTGCCTAATGGCTCTGTTGTCCTTGTGCCTTACAGATATAAGCAATGAGTGCTGTACACTCATCACTAGACTACATTGTAGAACTTTCTAGGAAGCCAGAGCCAGAGGCAGCATCTTGACCCTGGTGAGCCTGGTGGCTCTTTTACTCATTCATGTTTATTGTATCCTGTCAGGGAGGAAGAAACTCTCTCCCCTATCCTCAAGGTTCTTTTGGCTGCTCTAATAATCAAATACTAGTAGGCTCAGCTTCAGAAGCCATAGAAGTTAGTGAACATAGTTGGTGTCAGTGACTGTCTATGTGACTATAATATGGGCTGATATAAAAGTTGGGGGAAGGGCCCTGGCCAGGTGTCTGAGTTAGTTGGCACATTGTCCTGGGCACCATAAAAAGTTGTGAATTTGATTTCTGGTTGAGGTGTGTACTGGAGGCAACTGAATGATGTTGTCTCTCACATCAGTGTTTCTCTAAAATCAGTAAATATATCCTTGGGTGAGGATTTAAAAAAAAATAGTTTGGGAGTGTGGTTTGGAGCTTTAACCTTGCGGGGAGTTGGGGGTTAATACTGGTAGCTTTTGGCTACTTCTGGAGGCTGGAGTAATGTCTCTAAACATGCACATAAGTGATCAGTTGCTGGCAACTCCCCGGGTATCTGGGCACAGCCCCTTTAAGACAGAGTAGTCCTCTCCTGTCCTTGTATCCAGGACACCCCTGGCAGTGCTGTTTCCCCTCTGTTCCAGGAGGTTCTGTTGTGGCCACTCAGCTTGGAGGCTTGTGGAGCTGCAAGAACACCATTGCCCAGAGAAGCCTGTGTGGAGCAACGTGACTGTGGAGCCAATGAAGGTCCATGACTGCCATCATCTTCTTTGTGGTTGCTTCTTGTGCAGAGAGTCTGGATGTGACGACCAGACAGAGAAGGTGGGGCAGGAGCCATTGTCCTTATTGTACAGAGTACAATGGCAGTGGCCGCACTGAGGGGCCCGGTTGAGGTGAGTGTACATTCTCCACCAAACCCTACAGCTCCAGGCGTGAGCACCTGTTATGTCCTGCAGCCTGGATCTCAGTATCCAGGACTGGAAGTGTCATGGGTGATCCGCCACAGGGGCCAACCATGCAAAGATGTCAAGTTGTGACTGAGCCAGGAAGATTCAGGAACCTGGGGTCTACCTTCTGCCTATAGGGAGCAGATCATGTAAGGTGGAGTGACTCTTGGAAATAGCTGACTGAGGGTCCTGGGAGCCAGAGCAATTTCACCAAAGGAGAAACAGGACGAAAGCTTGTCAAGAGGCTGTTTACAGGAAGAACAGTAGAGAGGGTTGATGGCAGGTGGCACAGGGAGGTTGAGTGACAGGTGACACTGAGGACAATCAACCTGAAGTCTCTTGGGTCCAGGAATGGGCAGAAGCACAAAGGGGACCAGAGCCCAGGGCACTCCACCATGATCGCCTGTTTCCTATTCTCTCTCTCCTGATTTTTATGACTGTCAATATAAGTTAGGGGATGGGGTTGTCCTGATCTTCTCCATCTGCCATTCTCTGAGCCCCTGGGTCTGAGATCGTGAAGAAGCATCAAACCCAGGCTGGTTATATAGAGGCATTTCTCTATAGAGGCAGTATGTGCAAAACACTGGGAACAGAGGTGGGAGTAGAATGGTGGTCTCACTCATGCAGTTACATGTTCCAGTAGTTGCAGAAAACAGACTGGGATAGTTGGGGAGGAAGCTATCAGAAGGTCCAGGTGAGGTTAATGCAAATTGTAACTATCGAAGTAGGAGAAGTTTTTGGAAAGTAAGGAACAGAAGGGGAGGGGTGAGAGGTAACCCAGTCCTACACTTCGTGTCTGAGCAGCTAGGGCTATGGGAGCTCCCTTAATTGGGCTGAAGCAGTCAGTACTGGGAGTGATTTTGGTCAAGAGTCTGACACAGTTCAGAAAATACTAAATGGAGGCAGCTGGATATAAAGGTCTACAAATTTGAGATGAGGTTCAGTATTAGGCACCAAATAGGTTGCAGTGGTTGTGTGGACTGGATGGAGAGCTGTGTATCACACACAGGAAGAGGAATTCAGATGGCATGTTATTGACAGGCTGGAAAGAAGAGGTTTAGCACGAAGTCTGGGCCTCTTTCTGGGCACTTGGTTGGAGGGAATGGCCTGTCAAATACAGCTCAGTGGGGAGAGGAGGGTAATCTAGAAGGTGAATAAGGCCTCCAAGGGAAGAATGGACAGGAGGTAGATATCGAAGCCTAGGAGTTGTTGAGGCAGATGACTGACCTAAAGGCTTGTTCACTATTCTTCACTCACCAAGATTTTATGGGGATTTTTTTTGTGGAGCCTGTGTTACTTTAGTCAGGCTGTCAGATGAGCTCATCTGTGAACTTAGGGACTGAATTGTGTCCCCCAAAAATGTGTATGTTGAAGTACTTCATTCCCAGTACCTCACATCATGACTGTGGTTGGTCATAGGGTCCTTTTGGTGGTAATTACGTTAAAATGAAGCTATAGATGGGTTCTAATACAGCATGACTGGGTACTTTGTTACAGTAGTCCCTAGCAAAGCAACACAGCTTAGGACTGAATGAGAGAGAGAGTAAAGAAAAGGGCTGACTGGTGAGGGGATCTCAATACAACATAGGTAGAGGACCAGGGGTGTATGTGAGGTGGCTGAGATTGAAGCAAGGATCCCAAGCTGACAGGATGCCTTCACTGTGCACTTGAGGGTCCACCAGGTCTGTGGTAGCACTGGGCCCTGTTTGTGCTGAGTACTGTTGATGCCACGTGATGGGTAACAGATGCCCAGGAGGTGCACGTGGAAAGCATGTTTGAGCCAGTGGCTTCAGACCCTTGACATTAAGGACTTAGGTGAAGGTTAAGGGTATATTTTGGTGTACCTGGGAGGACATTTCAGGGAGATCGCCTGGCTGGGGGCATGGCTGGTGTCTGTGTTTGGGCCACTTCATGAAAAGGAGGGTTGGGTAGCTTTACTGTAGGGCCTTGGCAGAGAGGTTGTTTGTTGTTTCATGTCTTCACCTCATGGCAGGGCCGTGTGACCTTTGAGGATGTGGTTGTGTACTTCTCCTGGGAGGAGTGGGGGCTCCTGGACGAGAATCAGCGATGCCTGTACCATGACGTGATGCTGGAGAACTTTGCCCTCGTTATATCTCTGGGTAAGACTCAACCCCCCACACCAGTGCACGGGCTAGCCTCCATCTTTTTAAATTAGATATGATGTTCATTGTTACTGTATTGGTTTCAGACAGTCATACCAGTACTTTACAAAGTACATAGTACAAAGTACCCTGCTATTTCTAGCACCCAACTGGAGGTGCTGTCTTTGCTTTTCCTCCCAGGGATGCTGCTCTTCTCACCCTTGGACCTTACCTTCCAGTTCCCTGGCCAGGTAGACTGATTGAAAACCTAGAGCCCAGAATGTGCTGCCCCAGTTGGCCTTGTCTGCCCTTCCCCTGACTGGGTAACTGGCCAGGCCTGGCAGCTCAGCCCGGATTATTCTCCCTGCCTTTTACATGATGTTTCTCCCCACTTAACACCTGTGTATACTGTCATTGGTATGTCCCAAGGGTTGTTCTCACAAGATTCCTCTGAGGTTCCTTGTAACATTTAGTTGTCTCCTGTTGTCTATTATGTGCAGAATTGCTCTGGGCCAGTGCTAGTTCCTTGTGTGTCACCTTAGGTTTCCTATCATGCGGGTCCCACCCAATTTTTCCTAAACCCCACGTAAAGAGTCCTAGGTGCCTCACAGGATAGACATGACGGTGAATGGCAGCTAGGGTAGGGCGTGTTCACATCAGGAGCTTGTCCTGTGCCCACCAATGTCAGTGCCCTCTTCGTGTCTGCCTGCCCTTCCCCATTCTTGACACTTCTCCCAGTTCTCATTTCTACCCTGATTCTGGTCCTCAGTTGCCCCGGTGACCTCACACATAATATTACAAGGATTGCACATATCTTTCAACCAATCTCTGAACACCAATTCTAGCTAGTTCCAACCAGGTTTGCCTTGGCCTGGACATAAACTCACACACAACCAAGACTCCACTGAAGGCCATAGGAAAGAGTAAGTGGGGGACCCCCCCACCCCCGCCACTTCTTGGGGCTCTTAGAGTTCCCATACTTGGTACAGAACAGCCTCTGTCACCCACCTGAAAACAATCCACTGAATTCAGTTCTTTGGTGTCTCTCATACACATCTGTGATGGGGCTATTCCCCATCAGAGTCAGCACGTACTCACCAGCCTTTTGCTTTCAGGTTCCTGGTATGGAATGGAGGAGGAGGCGCTTTCTATGCAGAGTGTTTCTGTAGCACAAACATCACCAAGCCCGACTCCAAATCCAGACCCAGCCATTGAGGAGAATCACCCCTGTGAGAAGTGCATCCTGGTGGGGAGAGACATTTTGTACCTGACAGAGTACCCAGGGTCACATCCTGGCCAGAAATCACACACCTGTGAGGCCTGTGGCAAACAACCCTGGTTCAGTCCAAACCTACACCAGAAGCACAATGAAGAGAAGCCACCTGAGCGGGACATGGACACAGCTTCAGTTGTGACAAGCTGCAAATTCCAGATGTCAGGAAAGCCCCTCACCTTCACTTGCGGGGCAGTCGGGAAAGACTTCCTGGCCATGTTGAGTCTTCTTCAGCATCAGGCCACTTTGAAAGGGGCAAAGTCATCAAGCAATTTCATGTGTGGAGAAGAGGAAGCTTTTCATAGTGGGAGAAGTCATTACACGTGCAGTGACTACGGCAAACCACCCAGCTATGAATACAAACTCTTTCAGCATCAGCAGCTTCACCCTCAGAGTCATGACTGTGATGATTATGAGAAACACTTTAACCAAAGCTCCCCCATTAGTGATTGCCAGAGACCTGACATGGGAGCAAGGCCTTATCAGTGCAATGAGTGCGGGAGATCCTTCAGCCAAAGCTACCACCTCATTCAGCACCACAGAATTCACACTGGAGCCAGGCCGTACAAGTGCAGTGAGTGTGGCAAAGCCTTCACTTACAAACTCAGACTTGTTCAGCACCTGCAAATTCACAATAGGGTGAAGCCTTATGAGTGTGGGGAATGTAGGAAATCTTTTAGCTATAGCTCCACTCTGATTAAACACCAGAGAGTGCACACAGGAGCCAGGCCTTATAAGTGTGGTGAGTGTGGGAACTCCTTCAGTCAGAGCTCCAACCTTGTCCAACACCAGAAGATTCACAATGGGGCAAGGCCTTACAAATGTAGCGAATGTGGAAAATCTTTTAGCTATAAGTGCAAACTTGTTCAGCACCTGCGGATTCACACTGGTGAAAGGCCTTATGAGTGTGGGGATTGTGGGAGGTCTTTCAGCCACAGCTCCACCCTCAACCAACACCGGAGAATTCACACTGGAGCCAGGCCTTATAAGTGTGGTGAGTGTGAGAAATCCTTCAGCCAAAAGTCCAACCTCATTCAGCATCAGAGAGTTCATACAGGAGAAAGGCCTTATGAGTGTGGGGAATGTGGGAAATCCTTTAGCCAGAGCTCACACATCATTCAACACAGAAAGCTTCACACCAGATAACCTCATGAATGTGCACTGGCTTCAGCAGACTTCTCAGCCACTGCTCTCCTGTCAATTCAACATGACAACTTAACCTAGAGATAGATAGTTTCACAATTAATGTCCTTTGGCCCCAGAAAGTCCACACAGAAGAAAAGCCTGAGATTTGCCTCAGGGAATGTGCTACTTTTTTTCATTAGGAAGCCCTCTGCATGAAGTTGAACTTTATGCATCTCAGTGTCTACAGTAGGGAGATTCTGACCCTGAGTTCCTCATACATAGAAAGAATTTTGGAGCCCTGTGTATTCTACTACCTTGCTGGTTCCCTTGCCTGAACTCATTCCTCTGCCACAAGCCACCTCACTTATACAGACCACCTCAGAGGGAGGGGGGAATTCATTACCTCCTTTCTGACTAGGGCATAGTCTGGACCCAGTTTTATTGACTGAGATCAGGCTGGATAATGGTAGCTTGAAAAGAAGGCTTGCCGCCTTCTGGTTCTGGTCTAACTTACATTGCTGCTAAAGGCCTCTTAAGAGCGACTTACAGCGCTTTGTGGTCCTTGTTTATACCCTGGATGTTAGCCCAGAGAAGGAGGGTAAAATTTGTGACAACCTCCAGTGCTTTAGGCAAGTATAAATTGCTTCCCTTTTGCCAAGATGTCACATCATATCCCAAGCACTATCACGCGGGGGAGCTGTTTACCAGGTACTTAACAAAGGAATCATGTGCCTTTCATGTCTAGAGTTATCTGCTGTTAGTAAGACTGCAGGGGCTGGACTGAAACTAATTTGTATCAAAACATTAGGTGAGAAGGGCAACTAGAGAGCATGTCACCTCCGCACATTTCAGTGACCTGTAGCTGAGGCCATTGTCAGCAAATACAGCCTTGGTTATTGTAGTGTCTGCACTGTTCCATCTGAACATAGTGCTGCAGAGGAAAGATGATGAAAATAGGAGGGTGACCAGGGATGTAGCTTTTGTGACCCAGCCAAGCAATTGTCAGGAAATACTGGCAAACAAGATCATTTGAGTATTTCCTGTTGCTGAGACAGGGCTGTGCTTCCCCCCAAGTCATGAGTCAACGTTTCTAAGCCTGTTTATGAAAAAGTAGGGGGATCCAGACTTCCATGTGAATTATTACGTACTAAGGAACTGCACCTCTTTGTTTACTTTTGGCATGCATCCATAAAATGATCAAAATCATGATGAACAACTATGAACTCTCATTTTCACCTTGTGCCCTTTTAAAATCTCCCTCTGCTCTCATGGCAACTAGGGATTGATGTTACTTTCACAGATTATGTATTTTATAAAATTTTATGATTCAAGTCAAAGTGCTCTCAGAGGTTTTAAATTTTGATTTCATGCTCATTACTTTTGAGGTTCATACATGTCACACGTGAAATACTTTATTCCTTCTATTGTTGAATACTCTATGAATGTATACAAATTGTTTACATTTAAATCTGTTAATGGAGGATGTTTGACTTGTTTCCAACTTCAAGGTTATTGTAAATGCATGTCCTCCAAGAAATCAACTATTCCAGCCACTCATGCAGTGAGAAATAGTTGTCCCCCTGAATTCTCCCTATTCTCCAAAACACCCCTCCCAGCTTCCTCCCCCATAATGTTCCTCTCCTTCTCAAATTACAAAACTCTTTGCTTTTTATGAATAAACTTTGCTGATAAAAGTGACTTTTTCATATCAGCATTACATATTATAAGCCAACAGAAGCTGGTTAGAGCAAATTGTTGGAATCATAAAGTGGCCCAGTTAATACTTCTTAGCAGTTACTGTGATTTTGTAGGTGGCAAAACAGCATTTCCCAAAAGTATAGAAATTGCGCCAAAGACTGTGATAGTTCACCAAAATTGAAGATTCACTTCTTCCTGGCAAATGACAGGGAACTGGAATTTCTGCAGTTGGTGGCAGCAACCAGGCTTACTACTTGGTCTTTAAGGGACTTAAAAAGTGGGCTGGTTCCAATGATTGGAGGGCCAGAAAAGTTCTGCATTCCTTTCACCACTACCTTTGATCCAGAGTGGGTAAGTTGCTTTCCCAGTCACAAGCCATGGGCACCATGATCAGCATCATGAACACCACTGAAAGTTGATAGAACAGATATTCCAGTGGGTTGCTGTTAGGAGGGGTTACAAATCAGGTTCTCAAAGTCTCCAAAGCCCCCAATGGGGGAAGGCTGACATGGATGAGAGAGAAAAGCATTTCCTCCCCCAGGTGGTAGATGGAGCGTTTCAGCATCCATTCACATGTATTAGCACCAGATGTGTATCATGCAAGTCCAAGAGACCCATAACTGAAATGGGCCACTTGCAGTCTCACTGCTCCTGGGGCAGGTACTCACATGCAGCTTCATCTTTGAGATGTCAACTAGTGGTCGTCAGCACCAACTGAATTCCATCGGGACTCCCCAGTTTGGGACATAGTGAATGAAACTCAGTGCAATAGAGGCAGCAGAGCTATGAGCTAAGCCCAGGGTCAAGGCAGCCCCTCTTCAGCTAGGCAGCTCTGCTCTGGATTCTGCTCCACCTGTTCTGGCCCATTCTAGTTTTGGTGTTTGGGCTTCAGCTGGGGGAAACAGTCTTCACCGGAAAGGGTTAGGATGATGTGGAAGCCTCAGACCTGTTGGTCAGAATACAAAGACAGAAACTGCGTAATGGCTGCTTTAGATGGCAGAAGACTTGTCTCTGAAGCATGTTTTGCACAAGAGGCCCCTGTGGGAAAATCTGCTAAGGCTTTGCTTTTAACTGACTTAGTCACCTGGAGCTCTTAGTAGGTAATTTTCTTGGTTTCCACGGGGACATGCAGGTGCTGCTGGGCAGGATGGGCTTGGAGGAGCATGGGGAGCCAGAGGGCATGCTTTTAAATAGCATCCTGGCAGCTAGTGAGGGGGCACATTCAGCCATGGTGCCCTTGCAACACAGGAAGGGAAAACTTGCCCTAGGTGAGGCTGATTCAAGGTAGGGCATGTGCCATTGAGGCCATTATGCTCTCTGGGGAAAGCCCACCCAAAGCCTAGGTGCCACATGCCTCAAACTGGACACAAAACCATGGTAGCAGCTGGACAGCACCAGAGGGAAGCACTGGGGAGCCTCATTCACTGGGACACAGCCAAGATGCCTTTGGCCCAGCACAGATGGCCCCAGTAATAAGTCATCTCACTGGGCTTAGTCCACCACCCTGCAGCCACCCCCTTACTGTACACACAACACATCTTGTGCTGCTCACTAATTGTGTGGGATGGTGTCAGGTCTGAGACACTTCACACCAGATCATTAGGAGCTGTGACAGCTGGAATTGCCCTGAGGGGATGGCAGGGAGAGGCACACTGGGCAGGCCACAGGGAGGGGTCCAGGAAAGTCTTCACAGGCAACCAGATCAATGGAAAAGCTGGGGGGACCCCCCCACCACCACCACAACACTTGGGGCTTCTGCACCTCTTCCACCTCCAGCACCCATTGTAGGTGGTTCACCCACTCACCCTGGTGTCTTCCAAAGTCATGTTGTGTGGACAATTGCAGGCGAAGCAGTCCTACCTGCACCTGTGGCTTAGGGTGGAGTGGGAGAGGAGCTGTCTGGGGTGGGATGGCTCTCCTCCTGGCATGTTATGAGGAACTGGGCCCGGCTCCGTGGGCCAGCTCAGAATCACTAATGGTCAGATCTACCCGCCAGGAGGGCTGACTTCGGACTATGGCAGGGGTTGCCAAGGGTGGGAGATACTCCCAGTCTCACACAAGTGTTTGTTGGAAAGTGGGGTTAGAGCCGAGCAGGTGAGCTGATTTGTTCCCTTTCTAGCCCCTCCCCCACAGGCAGCACCTCAGCGCAGCAAGAGGGTTGCCCTGCCCTGGTGAATACCTAAAGGCCCTGCCCCCTTACAACATAACAGGTGTGTGGAGACAAGGAAATATGGCCCAAGTGAAAGAAAAAACAGACCAAAATTCCAGAAAGAGCTAAGCGATGAGGAGCTAGCCAACCTATCTGATGGAGAGTTCAAAGCCCTGGTAATCAAAATGCTCACAAAATTGATTGAGCTTGGTCACAAAATGAAAGAACAAATAAAGGATACACAAAGTGGAATAAAGCAAAATAATCAGGGAACTAACCATGACAGGAAGGAAACCAGGACTCAAATCAATGATTTGGAACAAAAGGAAGAAATAAACATCCAACTGGAACAGAATGAAGAAACACAACTTTTAAAAAAATGAAGAGAGGCTTAGGAACCTCTGGGACAACTTGAAACATTCCAATATCTGAATTATAGGGATGTCAGAAGGAGAAGAACAAGAGCAAGAAATTGAAGACTTATTTGAACAAATTATGAAGGAAAACTTCCCCAACCTGGCAAAGGAAATAGACTTCCAGAAAGTCCAGAGAGTCCCAAAGAAGTTGGACCCAAAGAGGAACACACCGGGCACATTGCCATTAAGTCACCCAAGATTAAAAATAAAGAGAGAATCTTAAAAGCAGCAAGAGGAAAGGAGAGAGTTACCTACAAAGGAGTGCCCATTAGGCTATCAGCTGATTTCTCAAAAGAAATCTTACAAGCAAAAAGGGGCTGGAAAGAAGTAATTTGAAGTCATGAAAGGCAAAGATTTATAGCCAAGATTACTCTATTCACAGCAAAGCTATCATTTATAATGGAAGGGCAGATAAAGTTCTTCCTAGATAAAAGGAGTTATCACCACCAAGCCATTAATATATGAAATGTTAAAGGGACTTATTTAAGAAATTGAAGAAGATCAAAAACTATGAACAGTAAAATGACAACAAACTCACAACTATCAACAACTGACCCTAAAAAACAACAACCCCCAACAACAAAAACTAAGCAAACACACCTAGAACAGGAACAAAATCAGAGAAATGGACATCACATGGAGGGTTTTCAGTGGGTAGAGGGGAGGGGAGGAATGGGGGGAAAAGGTACAGGGAATCAGCATAATTGGTAGGCATAAAATAGACAGGGAGAGAGGCCAACAATGGTATAGGAAACAGAAAGTTCAAAGAATTTTCATGTACAACCCATGAACATGAACTAACGGGGGGTGGAGAATGCTAGAGGGATGAGGGTGTAGGGTAGAGGGGGGATAAAGGGGGAAAATTGGGACAACTGTAATAACATAATCAATAAAATATACTTAAAAAACTCCCACAAAGTTAAACATTTGAAAACCAAAGTTTCCAAAGATGTGGGTGACCCATCATCAGGAGCTTCAATACAACACTTGCTCCTGCCTGAGGACACAAGGGACCCTCAAAGAGTGCACTGTTGCTCCCCACTGAGGTGGGAGCCCAAAGGGGTCATTGCAACGAGAACAACACCCCTGCTCATCTTTGGGCAAACGAGGCGTGACCTGGAGCCTCCATGGGCACCACAGAGGAACTGGTGGGATGGCCCCCTCTCCCTGGGTAGACGTGGCCACTTACATCCTGAGGCCCAACACGGGACAGTGAGATGAGTCAGGTCTGCATCCCTGCTATCTATGCACTGTCCAGAGGCTGAGAAGAGCAGTTACGTGAGGAAGTGAACAGAGTGCATCTGCCCACCAGGAACATCACCAACGTCCACTGACTTGGGCCTGTCAGAGCACAAGTTGTTATGCAAAGCCCCAAAGGGGATGACCAAGGGGCAGCAACCAGAAATGCTGCGTGGGGCAAGGGTGACCAACAACCTGAGAGAAGGATGCATCGCTGACATGTGTCTGAATTTGCAGGGTAGGGTCAATGAGACCGCACTGTATGTCTGAGCCATGGAATGCCCAAGTCAGGACTTCTCCACTCAGGCTCTTGAGCTCCCTGGCAACACCATGGTGGGGCCTGAGTTGCAGGAGTTAGGACAACTGTTCCCTCCCAGTTTTGCATACATGGGCTAGGTCCGGCTCTATAATATGGAATGAGAACTTTAAAAAAAATTCTACTGAGGTAACTCCAATAACTCCTTTCTTCCAAGAGACCACAATAGCCCATGGCCACCCTACCTGGGACTCCATGTAAGGCCCTGGCCAGTTTCCACACCTTCCTCTCATGTTTCCTGCTGAGTACCACTTGGCTCCAGTGGACCAAGCTGTTGACCTGTCCAAATGGTCCCCTACCCAGGCCAGAAATTGCAACGATGGTCAATTCTCCCATATGCCTATAGGTACTATATTCGGCAAACAGATGGAACACCGACATGCAGGTGTAAACTGGGCTGAATCTGATAGTGCCGGAGGCCTGCTGAAACTCTGCCCCAGTCACCGTGGCCAAATCCCATCCTTTTCCCATTTCCCGGAGCACAGGAAGACAAAAACTGGTGTGAATGTTGGCCACAGC